AAAGCAACAGGAATAAACCAATATTTGGGGCTTAGTTTGCAACTCGTACTAAATGCACGGTTCAACGGCGGTACATAAACAATAAGCATAGTCAAAATAAAACCAAGAGTTAAACCGATAAAGTTACGAGGGTTCGAAAACATGAATTTGCCAAATGGAAGACGATAACGGGATTTACAAGCGAATAAATTAAACATTTGTTGAATCAAAATTGCAAGATAGCAAATGGACACTGCTTGATCCAGTGCTTCTTTTTGTGCACCAGCATCTAATTCATATCCAATAGCAGATGTATACTTTTGAGCATTGGAACTAAAATAATTAAATTGAGATGACGCTTGTTGCATATATCGTACGTCATATGGCGTAAGCCCATGATCATAAAAAACAACAAAATATGAAACAACACAGCCAATAGCTTCTATAATACCAATTTCTAAGTAAGCCCAGCTCAATATATTACCATCGACTAATACTTCTCCATTAGATTTCTCAAATAATTCTGACCACCACGTACGAGTAAAAGGTTTTTTTAGGTTTCGGAAAAATTGAGAAATTTTAGAAGAAACTACTGATTGACCACTTTCAGGATCGGTAATAGTCGGAGTGCGGCGAAGTGCACGGAGACGAGCCATTTTGATTGAAGTTGGTGTTACAGGCTTTCGAGGTGGTAGTTTCATAAGTTTATTTTTGCTTTCCGGTTTATCCCAAGCAAATGTTAATGCGATGAGTAGTTCAAAACCCAAATCCACCAACAGAACGAGGATTGGAGTTAAAGGTAACGGAATAGGGACAATAACGAAAAGTAGAGATACTATAACCTCTGGTGCCGTATGTGAAATAGTGTACTGAATTGATTTCTTGAGGTTGATGAAAATGAGACGTCCTTCTTCGATTCCTTTTACTGTTGAAGCAAAATTATCATCCAACAAAATCATAGCAGCTGCCTCCTTGGATACATCTGACCCTGATTTATTCATTGCAATACCTAAGTCTGCCTTTTTTAAAGCTGGTGAGTCATTAACACCATCACCAGTAACTCCAACAATATGACCCATTGATTGAGCTCTTTTTACGATTTCAAGCTTGTGGCGGGGAGATGTACGGGCAAAAATAATTTCATTTTTAGAAAATATATTATCCCAATCCGCATCACTTAGAGAATCAATTTGTTCACCATGAACAACAATTGCATGATATTCTTCATTTGTAATACTTTCAATAGGACGACCTGTTTTTTTGGCAACAAGAGCTTTGGTATCTTTAAGCATCAAATTTATTTTGCGTCCTATAGCTTCAGCGGTTAATGGATGATCTCCCGTTACCATAATAACACGAATACCGGCAGTGCGGCACCGACCAATAGCCTCGCGAACACCGTGTTTTGGAGGATCTTCAAGGGAAACCAATCCGACAAAACATAAATTATTAAGTGGATAATTTTTATCTTCTTTATTAAACACATAGTCCTCGGGATACTCATCACCAGGTAGCAATAATTGTGCAAAGGCCAATACGCGATGTCCTTTTGAAGCCATAAATTCATATATTTCGTCATATCTTTGTCTGTGTTCGGAAGTTAAAAAAATTGCACCTGTTTCGGATAAAATAGTTGAACAAAGCTTGAGAACGCGCTCAGGTGCACCCTTGATATATAAAGTTAAATGACCCCTATCATGTTTTTTTTTGTGAATCGTGAGTGCCCATTTAGTATCTGAATTAAAAGGTATTTCAAAAACTTTTGGATATTCATTGTTGATGTCATCAAAATTGTCAATTTGACTGGCAGCAAAACGAACTAGCCCAGTTTCTGTAGCGTCTCCGAGAATTTGACGCTCTGCAATTGGAACATCAACACGATCAAATTTTACACGAGAACAAAGTAAAGAACTATGAACAATTTCTTGAATGCCAGGTGCATTTAAGTCAAAAAGATCGTTCTCATTTTGTGTATTTCGAAATGCACTATATAAATTTAGCGAAGCCCAGATGTATGTCACTGTCATTTGATTACGAGTTAGTGTGCCAGTTTTGTCAGTGGCCAAAAGAGTAATTGCACCAAGAGTTTCCACACCCTGGAGATCTTTAACAAGTACATTTTGTGCTGCCATTCTTTTAGCGGCGATAGTTAAAAGTACAGTGACAGTGGCTGGCAAACCTTCAGGAACCCAGGAAACAAGTACAGAGATAGCAAAACTAATTGTGAGGGCTACATTATTTGCATTAACCTTTAAACCTATTCCGAAGAAAATAATGGCGCAAGCTATTGCAATTGTGGCTATTATTTTCACAAAATTTTCAATTTCTTGCGCCAACGGAGATTTGTTTTTTTTTTCGGAGGCGGTTAGACCAGCAATTTGACCCAATACAGTGTGATCACCAGTACGAATGACAATTCCATAACCTTCTCCCGATACAACTAGAGTACCATAGAAACACAAATTAGTGGCTTCAAGTGGACTCTTATGTGTATTTATTTTGATACGTTCCTGCGGTTCTGATTCACCCGTCAGTGAAGAGTTGTCTACTTTCATGTCTGTAGCTGCAAAAATGAACAAATCAGCAGGAACTTTGTCTCCCATTCTTACTAAAACAATGTCACCTTGAACAAGGGTAGAGGCCTCAACTTGTAAGAGCTTCCCTTCTCTAATAATGTGACATTTTTGTGGGATCAAGCTTAAAAATGACTCAAGGATTGCAGCAGATTTTTGTAGTTGATAGAATTCAATGAAGGCATTCAAAAAAGCAACACCTATTAAAACAGCTCCAAGATAAATCTTCACATTTATGATATCAAAGGGTATGATAATAGTTTAGTGTCATCGAATTTTATGATGATAATTTTCTTTTAAACAACTTACCATATCTTTATTACTTATCGGATCTATGCCAACTAGAACATACATAAGAATACCGGCAATAATTAATAGTATATTGAAAAGAGAGGCAAGGCATTCCAGATATTTTACGATAGGATGTTTCTTTTTTGGAGGTGTCAAAATGTTTGGCCCATTTTTATTCAATAGATCATGAGCATGGTTCTCACTTAAACCATAAGACTCTGATGGTTTAACAGTATTTATATCAATGTGATAACGCTCAGCGACCTCTTCTGGTGAAAGCAAATGTTCATCCTGAATCGTAAAACATTTAAGTTTATATTCTCATAATTTCGTATCAGAATATGTCGATAAGATTTATAAATAGAATCCAAATTTAACTTACAATATCAACATGCTTTTGTTGTGCATCACTTTTAGTTTTCTCGTTAGCTGATACTTCGTGTGTAACAAATTCAGAGGCAACAGGTCCTATTTCCTGTTTAGCGGCGCGACTAGGTTTTTCTAGGTCCATAAATTGAATTTTGGATAACGTTTCAACTTGCCCCTCCTGAGTCGCTAAAATAATTTTATTTTTTTTAAAACATATTTTGCAGCCAAAAAAAATCAAAATTTATGTTATTTTTCTTATGAAGGTATGAACTTACATTCGCTTGAATTTTCAACTGTTTGAGAAGTTGTCACTTCCTGACTTCCATCTTTGGACGCCATTATCGTGGTGGAAAGACAAACCGATGTTGTATATGTTGTAATAGAGTAAAGGCAGATATTTAACAAGAACTTATCCTCCCAATAAATTAAAGTAAACCTGATAATGCGCGAAGGACGTCGCACTTTTTGAGCAAGAAAGGGACAGAGAGAGCTCTTGCAAACATGAACTGTACGTTGATCATTTATTATTATCTAGATTGGCGCAAATTGCAATGCAGTAGTCAATTGATTCTATCGGAACGATTAAGCATGTGACAAAACTCATAAATAGAATAACTTAACGCTGAATTAATAACGATAATCTTAGGGCGCCACCGAAATTTTTAAGTGTACGTAACTATATTCTTTATGGAATTTTTACTATGGTGCGAGTACGTACGTACGTACGTAGCTTAAGTATTAAATGTACACTTTAACACGATCTTTGTTACATATATTGGTATCATGTGGGGTCTTTGCACTAGAAATGGCCGAAACTGCCCCAGAAATAAAAAATGGGCATAGAAATGATTTAAAAATATATACCAAAAAAAATCTATTCAAATGGGGGTGTGTCAGTAGAAACTAAGCAAATAGTTTTTTGTGTTTTTTAAAAAATTTAAATTAAATATCAACAACTATTAATCAAGCTTGACCAAAATTTTTTTATTTAAAAATTTTTTATTTAAGTTTAGTTTAATAGTTGTTAAGATATTGTAATTTAAAGTTTAAAAAAATTTACTTAAAAACAATTTGCTTGGTTTCTACTGACACCCCCCAAATATATTATACCGAATTTCCAAGCATTATCTGAAATCAAATATCTCAAACCATCGTGTGAGTCTTTAACTAATAAGTTAGATCAACTTGGTTCTTTGTAAAAGGGAAGAGGGCATTAAAAGCAAAACGTCCGGATTAATATTTCGCGGGCTAAGTACCCAATTGTAGAGTATTTACCATCTTGTCTCCGGACATTCTAACGTTATAATAGTGCAAATTTACTTCATATTGCTAGTATGCTAACTTAAAACAAAAGCTCATAGTCACCAATATTAAAATGTCTAAATAAAAGGTGTTATACATTCTACAAGAGGGATGCTTTAAACTGTGAATACGGTATTGACCGAAATGACCGAAATAAAAAAAAATATAACACAATTTGATTAGTTAATACAATACGACTAATAAAGGGGTCATCTAAAGCCGTGTCCAATCAGAAAAAAAGTAAAACCCGCAAAAAAAAAACAAGAAACGAGTGTTTAAACCTGTCTAAGTGCATTAATAAAAAATTTTGGAGGGCAATTTTACTACGTATAAGACATGCCCTAACCTTAGCCCCTTACCCTAATTTTATCAAATAGTCAAAAACATACGTATGACTGGACACGGTTTTGGACGTTCCCTAATAAAGGCAGTGTTGTTACTACGTACGTACGTAGCCCTCGCCTTTGTCTAATTAACCTTAGCTCAAATCCAATTACGGTAGTCTCAATGTTGATGTCATGTATCTAAAATTATTTTCAATTAACTATGCATACGAATTCAATTGGAATGTTTTTAACATGTTTAACAACATTAAGTGCACCCTCCATAAATGCACGCACTATTGGGCTGTATCTAAGACTGTTAAAAAGCTTGTCGGACCCGGTCCTGCATGTTCTAGAAGGGCATGCATGTGATTGGCTAATTTATATCGAGATTGATTTGACCAAAATAATGAAGAGCCCTATGTAAAAGTAGTATAGTCAGGTTAATAAGTAACGTATGATAGCTGATCAGACCCTATACCCTAACATGCTAACATGAGGTATAATCCTAGCCATAATCTTTAACTATCGTAGGTAGTATAGCCTACTATATAATATGTACAGTACATGTATGTCATACTGGATGTACGACATCAGTCTAATTACAAATATACTATAGTACGGGACAGTAAAGACATTATAGTTTTGATGCTTACATAATCAATTTTGATTGGTTAATTAAATATATATCTTTTTTTATAATAAACTTTTTCTTTTTCTTATAACTTTTTTAAAACAAAAAATAATAAAAAATCCTCGGACAGAAATGTAGTTTAGCTAAAAATCTATCAATATGTCAGAGGGCTTTTTGATTTAGTTTGTTTTAAAAAAGTTATAACGAGTTAAATTTTTTACTAGCTGTTAGTTAAAATTGCTTTTTATAGTTGATTAACGGATGGAGCAAATGTTTGGTTTTATCAGATCAACCAATCAAAACCCTTAATTTGCGGACAATGTCCTTCGAACAATAATGAAGATCACTAATCAAGATTTTTTAATAGTTACTGTAGATCAGCGCAAATTTAATAGTAAAAACATAGAAAGTTCAAGCTGCAATAACTCTTGAACTAGCAAACCCACACAAATATAATTATATGTTTGCCAGGTTCGTTATAATGTGCTCTTTAACGTGATAACTCTTTTTATTTGAATAAATGATGTATTATTAATAAAAATATCAAAAAAACGTACGTACGTACGTAGCCATTGCATATTGTGTCACAATATGGGCTGAGTGCTGCATGTCATGTGATCTTATTTGAAACTAATAAAAAAATTTCGCTAAGAAAAGAAGTTTCGCAGTTAGGTTAGGGGTAGGGTCTTGTTAAAAAGTTAGGTTTAGAGGATTATATTATACCAAAATTTTGCAAGGAAAACTTTTTGTTAATACGCAGAAGGCAGTTTCATAGACTAAATTTTGAGTTATAAGCAATTTTTGACAAAGTGAACGTTTCTCGATTGTGCAACATTATACCTGATCTTGAATTTGATTGGCCTACGAAATTTTTTAGATTAGTATTTAAATACTGTTGGTGAAATGACTAACAATATTGATATATAATTATTAGAATGACTGTGTAAAAACAGATTTTATTATTATATATTAACCCTACTTTTTTCATATTTGTTCTTAATATAATAATTTTTGCTATATAATAAATGGTGTTCAGCAATATGACAAAGTATTTTGTAGATTTTTCTTCCTTAAAGAATAATGTATAAATTATAATGATGATAACAGTTATAAATGTATATAAGACCAATTCTTTGGTTTCTATTTTTTATTCTTAAAATTGTAACACAAACAAATTTGCTTGTATTTATTTTTGTAAACTCTAATTTTTTAATAAAATTTTAAATATTAATTTTAGCAATATACTTTCTAAATAAAATATATTTTTAAAGA